TCTTTCCTGCTACATATTATCTGTCTGGGCGCAATTGTTTCAATTGCTACCTTTCACGTCACATTGAGTCTTTTCTTCCCTCGTGCAGCGTAAATATGTGCCTTCGATGTGCTTCAGTGCCAGGCTTCTCACATGCATACGCAGCAGAGCCCGGATAAACATTTCAACGTCAGCCCGGTGCTCGTTCTGCTTTGATCTGACTGGTCACGGCGTGGTGGATCGGACAGTCGGTCGTTTACAGTTGTTTATCTGTTTGTTAGCGCTGATAGCTGCATGACTGGGACGGAGCGTTGATGTGAGCTGAGGACTCACCAGCTGTGCTGTGTGATCTCTGAAGACAAAATCAGGTCCTGTTCTTATACAGCTCTGTCACACAGGTTGTCTTATTGAGACACAGACACACATGATAAGAGCGCCTGTTAAGGCTGTGACTGTTATTGTGTGTCTGACCGTCTCTTAGCTAACAGTCCTACCATCACACGGGATCAGCGGCGGAAGGATGGATATCAGGCCCCTGGGCAAAAAAGCTCTTCAGTCAGACTTGGATGTTTAGCTTTTGTCCACAGGAGGGCACCATTCACACCAAACCCTTATTTAGTGCATGTTCCTGCATATCGCTGCTGTTTTTTCCCACTCTCTTTACAGTGCCAGCACAGCGTCTTGTGGAGATGAAATGATGCATTACTGCCATGATTGATATTGTTTTAAATTTCATGAGTTGTTTATTTATTTATTTTTTACTCAACAACCACAAAATCTCTTGTATTAATTGACATGTTTTAGATATATTATAAAAGCCTAACATTGAATTCAAATAACTCTCATTCGACCTACACTGTGCTGTATTTACCTGCATGTAAAACAACAGTCCCCATTTACTAGTTCTTCTTCTTATGAAGATGGACAGGTTATGGGTGAGTGTGGATGAAGTGAATGATGGAAGTCAGGAAATTTTCTTTCTCTCATTAAATTTTGTATTCCAGAATTTAATAGTTCATGCAAATCTGTGCCTATTACCCCCCAGTGAATATATTACTGTAGATAAACATAAGGCGTGTTGAAATGTGAGTTCCAACACATAATCAGTGACTTCACAGTCAAATGAGCACAGCATCCTGAAGAAGACAGGTTAGATAACAAAGCAGTAACATTTCAAGTTTGTTAGTGCAACATTATTTGTGTGTAAGAGTCAAGTTTTTCTACTAAGACTAAGTAAAATATATGAGTTATTGTGATACAGATATATATATTTTTATAATTCAAGACAAATGTTGCTCATATTGTTAGCTGTTGTGGTTGAACAGTGACTTATTTTTGAAGTATTTAGCATGGTTAATATGATTGATGTATAATGTTGTATTTGTCATCCAAAGAGGACAATGAAAAATCGTATTCTTATTCCTCAAAGCTAATGCAACTAATATATTATTCATTTAAAATGTGTGCTTTGTCTACTTTTATCATTTTTAATATGGTTTTGTACTGTCTGTTCTTCTTTTAAGTGAATCGTATTTGGCTCTGCTTAAAAAAAAAAATTAAAAAAAAGTTTGACGTGCAGTTCTCTGCTCCTCATCCTCCTCCAGCCCCTGGGTCGTCTGGGAGCTAAAGTTTTGGGTATAGATCCAGTGGAAAACAGCATTGGCACCGCCCAGCTGCATTCGTCCTTTGACCCGGACCTATGTGAGCGGGTGTCCTACCAGGTGTGCACCCTGGAAGAGCTCTCAGGAGGAGAGGATGAAGGAGCGGGACACTTTGACGCCGTGGTGGCGTCTGAGGTTGTAGAACATCTGGCTGACCTGGAAACGTTCGCCTTCTGCTGCTGCCAAGTGCTAAAGGTGCTGTTTGTTGTTTTGTTTTGTTTTTTAATACCTTGACTTAGATATTTGTGTATTAATACTGCACTTGTGTTTGCATATCAGGTAGAGGTTCCCACTCTTTGAATTAGACAGTTATGGGTGACTGAGTCAGCACCGGGCCGGACCGGGGTCTGTGGATGGCCTGCTGTGTTTTTCTGTGTGTGCCTTGTACTTATCATTGAAGAGATTTAGTGAAAGCTGTGGTCCATACTGCAGCCTGGGGGTCAGAATCTCCTAGTTTAGTGGGCCAAAAGTAGCTGACAGGGGGGGAAAAAGCTTAATGCAGGTGGTTAAGTCATGACTGGACTTCTTTCTCTCTCTCTCTGGTCTAAATCTTTCTTCTGCACTTTCATTAAAAAAACCAAACATTTATATGTACTTTTCTTGACCACGCATACATATATTTTTTTGATGCTCATGCTTTTATTTATTTTTTCTCTCCCCTCCTGTTCAACCTATTTTCTTGGGCTCGTTGAACTTTGAGGTTTGGCATCCTTCCATGTTGCGCGCGCTGGATTTTGTCCTCTGAAAGCCTTAAATCCATTCTATAAATACCCTGCTGCCTCTCGTAGAAGAGCTCCTCCCTTGTATATCACCTGCAGAGGTGTCATGAAATGTGTTTCCAGAAGTAACGCAGTCTATTTAATTTATATTTCATGAATCAAACCTTTCCATTTTTGCTCCCTGTGTGCAGCCAGGTGGCTCACTCTTCATCACGACTATAAATAAAACCAACCTGTCCTACGTGCTGGGCATTGTTGTAGCGGAGCAGCTGCTGCGCATCGTGCCCGACGGGACCCACGACTGGGAGAAGTTTGTCAGCCCAGTAGACCTGGAACGCCTCCTGGAGTCTCGTAAGTCCCTTTGGAGGGAGAAAAAAAGAAGCTCCCACTGATCATAGAAAACAGACTAAAAATGCAGTTGTTTTTTTTTTTTTTTTTTTTTTTTTAAATAATTAAGTGGGCAAATGTGGAACTAAGTAAATATACCATATTACAAAAGGTCGCTGCAAGATGTAAAAGTTTTTTTTAAACAGCAGTAAATTTTGAGGATTTCTGTGTCCATAAATTGTCTGCAAAGCTCATTTTATAATTCGTGTTCAGAAGTAGTGCAAAAATAAAAATCTAATTTTGCCTTTTGTGTTGACATCAGTGTCTTCCTTCTTTGTTAGATGGTTTCTCGGTGCAGTCTGTCAAAGGAATGCTGTACAACCCCCTGTCGGGAGCCTGGAGCTGGACCGACAGCACTGCCATCAACTACGCCCTCCATGCCGTCAAACTGAGAAAACAGGCTGAGGACAGCAGCCTCCACCCAGAGGACCACACCATAGAAAGTAGCAGCTGAGCCACGCCACTCCACTTGAGAAGAAATCCAAAAATGAGAAATAATAACTCAGACGCGAGCGGCCCTGACATCCTGTCGGCCAGCTGTGACGCAGCACATGAGACTGAGTTTATTCAAGGAAAGGGACAAACTGCCTGCAGATAGAATTAGAGATGTGCTGCATTTGGCAGACCCATTGATGCTGTGCTGTGCTGCATGAGTGCTGAATACATGTCTAGTGTTTGATAAGCTGTGTAAAGCAACGGTGCATCCTTTAATTGTGTAATCATTTTCAGCATATGCTGTCCTGCGTCATTGTAGTGTTTGAGGGTGAATAGTTAAAGGTTTGCAACATCCTCCATTAAAACTGACCTCACATCAGTTTGATTTCTCAAGAATGAAAGCATGAGAGTGAAAAATGTGATTTATTTTGAATGCTAACAAAAAAACAAACAAACATGATTTCAGGTTTTTAGATGTTAATATTAATTTATATTTTGTGTCCACAGAGGGGAGGGGCAACCATTTCCTGTGGGATTATAAGGGGTCTGGTCTCATGTGGAAGTATTACATAATACAGATCTCCCTCGTGCAGAGAATAAGTCATGCTTGCATGATGGTCTTAAAGAGACCAGAAATATGACTGTAGAACATGTGCAGAAGCTAAAAGAGCACACTGTGAGGACTGAACACTACACCTATTTCAATTTCAGATATGTTGACATTTCACTGGTTTAAAAAAAAAAAAGCTCTTTGTATATACATATTTTAAAAAGAACTCACCCTCTGGGGGGGTGGTATGTGTGTGCTCCTCATGTTCAGGTCCTCTACCAGAGGCCTGAAAGTTAGAGTGCTCTGTGCAGTATCTTAGCTGGTCCTTGGACTGCACTCTCCTGGATGGAGACCTTTGATGTTGTGCCTGGAATCTGCTCAAACTAATTTTCCAGCTCCTTTATGCTTCTATTACCACTAGGACCACTTTGTACTTTACCTTCCACATCTGCTCCAGATGTTTCTTCAGCACCTGGTTCTCCATTTTCTTGTGCTCCTTTTTCCCGATGTTGCTGTCCGGTAGGATTACAACATCTATGACAACTGCGGTCTTCTGTTCCTTGTCAACAACCACTACAATACTGTTTGGTTTGCCAGCAGCTTCTATGTGGAAGTGGAAGTCCCACATGACCTTACTCCTGTTGTTCTCAACCACCTTTTGTGATTGAGGACTTGGGGACTTCTAGTCCATATGCAGCACAGATGTTCCTGTACACTATCACAGCCACTTGGTTGTGCCTCTACATCTATGCAGTTCCAGCTTGCTTCTTACATCCTATTACTATATGTTGGATAGTCTCTGGGGCACCTTTGCACACTGTTCAACTTTGTTCCCTTTGTAGACTCAACCCTCTATCTGATGCCTAGAGTCTGTTCTTGTGCTGCTGTGTTAGAGACTCTGCGCTGTGCTTTAAGTCTGTGTTGTGCCAGAAAAATGATTTCAGGAATTTGCCCCAAAATGATTGTCTATATTTAAACTGTTTTAAATGACTTGTCAACCCACAATCTGTCAAACCCATGACAAGCATATCTCTTAAGAATGCTATCAAGCCATTTTGAGCCAGAAATAAAAGTCCTGTCACAAGGTAAGAAGCTGCAGTCGGTTTTTGGCAAAGTGACTTTTATGTATCCTATATTTATCTAGGTAAAGAGTGTCATTAACATCAAAAATGTCTTTTTCAAGAGCGATCTGGCCAAAAGTGCCATTAAAAAAAGTGTCATAAAGATGCTTCCTGATGTCAAAGTCGTTTCCTCTATCTGCCGACAGTATATCTATGTGTGTGTTTACTAAATGCCTTGCTCCAGCAGTGCCTGCTGTGTCATATTCCCAGGCTGGTTCAGCAGTAAACACCAATACACGCTCCTGCTGTAATGCGCGCTCCCGAGAGCCACGAGGCCGCGCGTTTAACTTGCCGTAGCCATGGCTGCGGTAAGCACTCACCCTCCTTCACTGACCTGACGGGGTCAGACAGCAGCAGGCAGGTAATTGGCACCAGGATGATACCGGCGGACACGTAACTACTGGATGTTCTTTTGTCCAAGTTGTCTACATCCTGTTCTCGGCATGCTCGACAAACAGATCTCCAACTCACCTGCTGGATTAAAGCGTCAGGATGAACGTCTTCTTCCACTTCCAAAGTTGCTCCAGAGTGAGTACTCCTTCCTATTAGTGCATTTACCACCAAGTTATACAGTTAGACCGTAAGTAGAGTCTATACCGACAGCACACCGCGGTCACAGCACAGGTGGCATAGTGGATTTGCAATCCGTGTCTTACTTTTCTCGTTTGCGTAATGTGCTTCAGTGTGATTGCACAAACACACTGCACTTCATGGAATCAGCAGTCTGTAGTAGCTGAAGCGGAGCAGAAGGGCTTATCATCATGTTTGGCTGCTGTTGGCCAATAGTTTGTTTTTGTGGTGGTCAGTGAGTCTCTGCGTTCAGTGAACGCAGGGGGCTCGTCAGGGCGGGGTGGCTCCGATCCTCCACCGGAGAAAGACAATAGGCCGGCTGCATGAAGTAACCAGCATTTGATTAGACAACAACGGAAGTTGCCCAACTTTGCCACAAAAATAAAAGGACTGGGTAATTTTTTTTTTGCGTTTCTAGCCCTCTGTTTACCTTGATCTGATGATCAAAATGTACACTCCACCACACGTAATATATACTGTGAAAGTTATTAAGTTCTACAGATGTTAATCACATAACTTTTTTACCAGCTCTATGCAGAACTTAATTAGATCAATTGCTTCTCTTTCTCATAAACTCTTGTTTCTATGGTGGGGATTGGACAACATCTTTTTGCAAACCAAGTGTATCTGACTAAAGCTCTTTGAGAGATGCAAAAAAAACTGGAACAGCCCTCCACCTTGATCTAAACTGCATAGAATATAGGCATGTAGATGTAGCTTTGCACAATTCACAGTTCAGATTAATTCATGTTTATCTTAGTCTGTCCCTTAAGAAAAAAGGAAGCACCCATTAGTTCTTCGAAACTTTGGTCATATGAGGATCTGCCATATAAACAGAAAATAAGGGAATACATGATGGGCCTGCTTTAAGCTTTTGCCATTATTTGGAAGCAAAACAGCCAAATAATCTTTGGTCCCAGCTACTTTAATTTGTTTTTGCTAATAATAAATTAAATCTATTTATTTGGTCAGACAAATCAGATAATGATTTGACTACTTTTAAAATATTAAAACTGTCAGGGACCAAGCAGTAAAGCATAAAGGACACAGGTGGTTTAATTCAAAAAAGGGGTTTTATTGACCCAAAAATATGAAAATATATTTAACAAAGCCAAAACTTAAACAGGCAGACCAATAAAAGAGGTCAACTCAATAGACTAAACTCAAGATAATAATTAACAAGGCCTCAAACAAACATAAGATAAACTGACCTGCTGAAAGGACACACGGGGGAACTTAAATACTGGTTTAGCTAAACCAAATGACACACACGGGGGAAAACAAGATGGCTGCCATATAACCAACTAATACAAAACAATTAAACAAACATGAAACACCCCCCAGGCAACTAAGCATGTGGTGCTATCCAATTAGGCTGTCAGTGGTACTTCAGGTCTCCCAGCCCTTTGCCACACCTTTTGCCCGACAGGAGGAGAAGCCAACCCCCAGGTAACTCAAACAAAGAAAGATGTATTAATATAACATAAAATAGAACTTTGACCTTGCAAGGTTAATATGTGTGCACGCCATATAAACATTGGAAGGTGTGATGGAAAAATAAATACATTTAATAAAGAAACAATATTGAACAATAAGTAGAATATTTTAAAGTAGTGACTGTAAATTAAACTAAGGTGAATCAACTGGTGGTGAGGTGTGGAGCTTACCATGTGTGGCATGCCATCACAAAAACATTTCATGAACAAAAATGAATAATTTAGTTTATATCATGTTCAGATTTACGATAGAATTTCATTCACATGATATGTGATGGAAAACTAGCAATAACTAACAGCCACTGTGTACGGTTATTAAGAGCAGAAAAGGTTATTTTGCAAGTAAAATATTAGGTGCAAAAAATGTAATTGGAACAGTGTGGACACTGACATTTATTTTGAAATTAGGGACCGGAAGTCGCGGTGTTGCCATTGTTATTCGCGCGATAATGCTGTGCAGATCCTGCGAAGGAAAGCGAGCTGGCTGCTGAGCCTCATCTCAGGGAGTGATGTTCCAGATATTTACCTTTTCCGCTTTCCTGGATCAATATTAGCCACACCGCCGCCATGCCGTAGACACAGCGCCGGGGGTCTCGATGAAGCCTAACGGGGACTGCAGTAGGGAGGACGCGGGGCGGCTGTAACCGAGGGAAGAGGATGTACTGGGCTGCTGGTTTCGCCTCTTCCCGGCCGTGTGTTGTTGAACTGGGGCGGAATCACAGCCTGCCCATCGGGCTGTGCGGCTCCGAGCAGCAGCAGTCGTTGTATGGCTATATCATCGCCTTTCCTCTGCAGGATTACGGAGGCATCATGTCGGTTTTGGGCTCGGACTCCTGGTGGAAGAAGACCCTGTACATCACCGGGGGGGCCCTGCTGGCTGCTGCAGCCTACCTACTGCATGAGCTGCTCGCCATCAGGTAGGGACGCACAACATTCCTGCACTCTTTATCATCCTTATCACCAGGTTTCTGTTTGTTTGTTTGTTTAGTATTTCTTTTGCCTCCCGGGGCTCACGTTTTGATTGCACCCACCCCCGCTGACAGTGACTGATGAGTGACACCGCATAAAGCATTATGGATACAGGAGTGTGTACACGGGGATGTGGTTCCTCTGCAGCTCTCGCGGGAAGAGGCTCTTGCTGAGGTTGCCGTCCCTCGTTTTCTCCTTCAAAGGACACGACACTAGGTGGAGACTTAAAAAAAATAATTAATAAGCGAGTCACGCGTCCGCTCGTGTGCCAGTTCCCGTGCAGAACACATCGGCACCTGAGCGTGTCTAAACGAAGCGCTCCTCGGACGCTGCGGAATCACCCTGACCTTTAATGAGCTGAGACACAGCAGCTGTCCGCATCATTTACAGTTGTTTTCTACAATGAAAGCTGGTGATCAGTAAGCGGTCACTGTAAGAGAGATTAACACGGGACTATTGTCAGAGCACAGACCGCCTGGCTGTGAATGGATGGATTATTTATTTATTTTTCGGCCAGGCCAGTGCCAGGAAGTAAGCACATCCTGTTACAGTGGCCTGGTAGTTTCTGCTTTCACTCCCCCCTCCTCGATCCACAAGCTGCGTGAACCGTACATTTCGTGCAGAAACTCTGAATCACGTGCAGGCCGCTGAGGCTGGTCCCGCAGCCTGCCGGCGTCAGATGTCCGTGCCATGTGATGTATTGTTGGCAGAGCTGCTGCTACGACTAGTCGGCTTTTGTTCTCCTTTTCCCAGCTGAGAGATCTTTGAGAGGTTCTTTAAGTGGTTCCTCTGAGAGACGAAGCACCACAATGTGCATGGAAGAAGGACGGCATGCGTAGATCAGACGTAATAATATGATATCAGTTTCTCTGCAGATTTAGAATATTTTCAGCACCATGTAACTGTGGACAGCTACCAGTGAGACCTGCGAGGTTTCAGCACCACAGTCAGCTCAAGTTTATTTATTTAGCATCACAACACCCATATTGTGACAACCATGTAAACAATAACTCCTAGCCACCACTGTGACAATAGAGAGGAAGAGCTCCCTTTAAACAGGAAGGAATCTCCAGCAGAACAAAGCTTAGGAAAATCAAAAATATTTGCTGTGATCTCAGCTGCAGACAGGTCAAACCACAAGCTATGGGAGAGACTAGACAAAAGTTAATGGCATGCACTAGATTTATTTAAAAAAAACAAAAACATGGGGAGTGAAAAAAGGTGAGTGTAGTAGATGTGTTTAGTGCATCATGGGAAGTCCCCACTGCAGCCTTAGCCTATGCCTGCATAACTAAGCCCTAACTACAAACGTTATGAAAAAAATAAGAATTTGTCGTCATGCAAACATGAATTTATATTTTCTGCAGAATGTGGTTTACTGAAAATAAGCAAGGCCTTCCTTGAAAGAAAATAAAAAGCTTGTTTGGATGGCAGCATATGTTGCCTCAAAGCACACAATGCACACAACCACAGATGCTGGCACTGAAATATGGACTGATAGTAGATTGAGGGATTGCCCTTTTCTTTATATTTTAGGATGGAGCATCAATGACAGTTTAATCTCATAAGTTGTGAAACACTCAGCCAGCTGTGTGTTGTTGTTGTTTAAAACAATCTTTTGTTGACTTGGGGTTTTTGAAACATGTTGCTGATATTAAATTAGAAATGAACATATTATTTTTTTAGAATATAATAAAATATAAACTGTGTACTATCCTGTAAAAACAGATTTTTATTTAGTTTTTGTTTAGATAACATCCAGCCTGGAATGGGGTCAAGTTGCCAATTACATGGAATCTGTTTCTGATAATACGGCAATTAACTGTGATCAATTGTTACAGTGATAAATTGTTCACAGTCAAATATCTGTTGTTACAAATGAATTCATGTGACTGAGTGATTCGCTTGCTTTGAAGTAGGAGGTAGCATCGTCAAGCTAACTGTGTCCAGTATTGGATGGTTTTTTGTTTTGTTTTTTAACGATGTATTTATTGAGTTGTTTTATATTGCAAAAGTTCAGCTGATTTCATGTGAATTTGCTCCGCTAACCTTATCTAATGCTGGTGCTACATGATATGAGCTCTCTTATTGTAGTCTTTCCAGAGTATTTTAATTTATTTAATAAAATATAAATATTTGGTGTCCCTTTATTGATACAATAGTGCCATGCAAAATATTGCTTTATCATTTTTTTCTGTCACTCTAAAAGTGGCCTGGGTAAAAAAATTTTTTTACTTATTTTTGTCTTAATGTACAGAAATAAGTCCCCCCCTCCGAATAATTAAAAAAATGACATCATGTTGTAATGTGATTGTAAAATAGGATAGAACTCAAAACAAAAGCAACCATAATCTATAATATAATTTCCACAAACCTAACTCTAAAAAAGGATAGTTAAAAGTGGAGTAAGTGTTGTCAGACCGCTTTGCAGTTACATAAATTTATTCAAATATAGGGAGCAGTGGTCAGTGATAAAAGAGATGCTAAACGGAGCAGATGGGGTCTGTGTGTGTGTACCTGAGATGATGCCTAAAAGCTTCTTCAGGAATAGAAATAGATGCCCAGATGAATGTGTAACGTGATTAGGAAAGCGGTGTAGTAAAATTAGATTAGATTTAGTTTTTTTCCCTGTGCTGATGTGTTAGGTGTAGTTTTATTTCTCTGGTTGCAAAAAAGGTCTTAACTCAAATTGCCATATTAGATAGCATTGAGACACTCCTCAACTACAATTTTAGCACGGTAATAGCAGTGTAGGAATACCACCAACATCCTCCCTGCACAATTGCATTCTAGCTTATTATTATCTTAAGTGTCTTTAGACAGCAGGCCTACAGTACAGTGGGAGGAGAGATGACTCATTTAGTCAATATTCTGACTTATAACCGAAGCTCTTATTACCCCTCAGCTAATACAGTGGAGCAGAAATACAACTTTGTGGATTTTAAACCTTCGGTAGCTCAGCTGCTCCTTGTTTCACAGAACGATCTATCAAAGTGGAAATAAAATTTCTAGTCTTGACAATCACTTAAAGAGTTTTAATGGAGTATAATAACAGCTAGTGATGCCAGTATATCTCAAAACACTTAAAGTCACTTGAAGTACAGACTCATTATGTAAAAGTTAGTGACCTCAGTGTGAATAAAGAAAGTGTTTTTTTTGGTTCCTTTTAATACTTATTTTCATTTATTGTTAGTTTTATTTCTTGTATATGTTATTGTTTATTTTATTTATAGTTTTCCATGTTTTACTGTGATTTATATTATTTTTTCCTTTTTGTTTAATATGTTTGTTTAAATCTTGATGTTGTCTTTTAACAGGAAATCACTTTGGTCAGCTATGTTGTTTTTCTGAAGTGCTCTATAAATAAAGTTGGATTGGAATTCGTTGGAATTGTTTAACATAATAATAAAAAAAATTTTAAAACTCGCAAAGAAAACAGAACTCGGCACGAATAGTGTGTCACCGTGCTAGAAAAAAAACTGCAGGTGTGACCTACTCCTCACAGGGAGGTCGGCCAGAGCCTGAAGCTGAAGTCAAAGTCCTGTTTTCTGTTCAGATGCTGAGTTTTGTTTGGAATTTATCTCACTGGCCCCACTGCACCAATCGACCCTGAAAACAGGTGGAAAAAACGGTTGATTTCGGCTTCGCTGGCTTAAAATTAAACATTTTTAGGCAGTTTTTCCTCTTGGTATCTATGCATAGTTGGCAAGGCTCGAGACACCAAAGCATACTTTCATCCACACAGAATGGATGAAAGTATGCTGTTAACGTTAACACTGGAACAAAATGTACAAAATGAGACAATGTCTGTTAGCGAGTTTAAGAATGGTCTTTAAAGAGGTATAATATTTACAGTTACAACATTTATTCATTGAGTTTTCTCCATCTTTGGTTTCTATGTAGGAAGGAGCAGGAGTTGGACTCCAAAGACGCCATCATCCTCCATCAGTTTTCCAGGCCAAAGAATGGTGTGCCCAGCCTCTCGCCCTTCTGCCTCAAAATAGAGACGTACCTGCGGATGGCGGATCTGCCCTACCAGGTGATAACAGAGAGGGGAGGGGGGTGTTTCTGCCTCTGAAGAGTTTAAGTTGTTTTTCTCTTCAGCCATTAATAGCTACTTCTGTTGCACAGCCTTAATGCCTCTCTTCCATCAGCATCAACACTGGGCAGCACAAGCTAATGGCAGCTTAGAAATGGGGTCCCATTTGTCAACAGCTTCCATATAAGGACAAAAACAATGAAAGCTGTTGTAGCTGTTGGACGTGACAGAGTTGAAGATCTTAAGATTTTAGTTGTTAATGACCATCTTGGTTGCAAAAAGTGGATGCAATGAGGAAGACTGGGTCTGACTTTGAAACCACATGCTTATTATGGATGATGACTTGTGATTTACAGCTTGTTAGTCAATGATTGTGTGGTTTCATGCCACAAATAAGTCTCCATTTTCACATAGGTCTACAGTCTCTTTGTTTTGTTAATAAAATGTACACACAGCCCAGGAAATTTATGTTCAAAGTTGTTTCCCTTTGCAGAACTACTTTGATGGGAGGCTATCTCCGCAAGGTAAGATGCCCTGGATCGAGTACAACCATGAACAGGTGTCGGGGTCAGAGTTTATAGTGGACTTCCTGGAGGAGAAGCTGGGTGTGAACCTCAACAAGAACCTCACCCCGCAGGAGATAGCTGTGTCCCGCGCTGTCACCAAAATGGTTGAGGAACACCTCTACTGGTAAGTAAGTCGTATAGGTATACAGTGCTGTAGCCGTGCCTTTGAAAGGCTTTTAAGAGCTATGACTTCAGGCACTTTAAATGGAAAAGCCACTTTCAGATCATTTTAAAGACAGAAAGCAGTTCTCTGTTTCTACAGTTTGATTTAATTATTGCACTTGAGGGGTGAAATTATGTGGTGCTGAGTTGATTATGTAATTTTGTGTGCATGCATTCATATTTAAATGCACACTTTAATGTGCTCAGTGCTAAACCATATGAGGAACCACCTACACTGATCCTCCCGGGAAAAAAGGTCCAATTTATTTTAGCAGCAAGAGAAAAAAGACACACTGTGGATTTATTCAAAAAACAAAAAAGTAAGATTATTTGTGCATTGGTTGTGCATCTTTTCAGCCCAGGCTGTGATATCTGCCATCCTTTGCAGCAGTGAGTCACTCCAGGATCACTGGGGTAGAGACATGCTGCTAGGAAATCGTTTTCCACACTCCATCTACACCAAGACGAGTGTTTTCCATTACCTAAAAGCTCTATCTCTCTTTCTCTATCCATCCCCCTCAAAAAGGCGCACACACATACACACACTAACTCGGTTTGATCCATGTGGTATGGCCTATTGCTCTCTATATAATAATTTTAGAACACAATTTGAACTACTCATTGGTTTTAGTTCACTTATAAAAAAGGAACAAAGGATGGAACAATTTGCTGGCTTTGTGTTATAAACTGAATCTGCTCCATTTCTCTAAAAGCAGCAGAGGTCATTCATGTAATCCACATTCACGCTCCCTCCCGTCTTGTCTCCTTGTGTCACCTCCCTGCTCCTCTTCCTCTGCTTCTCCATGCACCCTGCACCAGGTTTGGACCCACATATAGACCTATTGATTGAATTATTTATTTCAGGGAAGGGCAGCATGACAGCGTGCTGCTCTTTGTGTACTGAGACACAGCCTAGAGATAGATTTGGTTAGATCGTGCACACACAGAGTTGCCTTCCTGATTCATAGTGGCATGGTTATAGAGCAGAAAATGTTCTCAAAGCTGGTTATACTATTATATACTCATTTATTTTGCTGTGCTTTTTAAAAATACAAATCTTCTAATAACTCTGTAATACCAGAAAAGGATCACTCAACTATACTTTAAAGTAGACATACTCAGACAACTAGTGTTAGCAGCTGTGATCCAGTGAATGTCAAAGAGGAATTTCAAGAGTAAAAACTGGGCATAAATACAACTTTAACTTGAGATTAACCTTATGCTGGATATTTAAATGTCCAACTGTTTGCAAACACAGCAGGTATAACTGCGGATTAAAGGGGGATTCGGCAGGAGGAGGAACTCTAAGATGGGCTGTAACACATCTATGGTGAAAAGAATGAGTTAGAAATAAGTCACGCAGTAAAATGATTTGTTTCGTGAGCTGCATTGGACTTTTCTTTGTGTGCAGACTGTGATTGGCTGACTTGGGCTGCTGCTCTGATATTCACTGCTCTTTGTGAATTTAGCCAGCAAAGTTCACTAAAATACTGTATAAGTAGATGTTTCATAAGCTTTATGGCTAAATGGCCCCAACTCCTAGACACTATAAAGCTAGTATAAAAGCCATAGTTCACAGAGTGAATCTAATCGGCATCATTACCTTAAATATACCAAAATGATCCCTGCTACCCTCGGTTCAACCAGTCCGTGTACTGTTTAGCCTGCACTAAACTGCCAGGTATTCCCATGCAACCCTTGAATAACACTCAGTTTGTTTGACAAGAGGTTTCAAAAAAATGTAATTTAGTACAGCATCAGACATGTATCTGATTATAAAACTCTAAAATGAATGAGGACATTACATGTAAGATTTCAATTTCCTATATGGAAAATTTCTTGTATTGAGCAGCCAGAACTTTTGAAAACAGTCATCCTTCATCAATCCATCTTCCACTCTTTCTTGCATCCTTCTCCATCTGTCAGGATCACCATTAGCATTTTTTTCTCTCCCTGGGAAATACTGCAACTGCAGCTTTATCTTGAAAATGCATTTTGTGGCAAACTGCACAGAAACATTTGCAAAGGTTGCATTTGAAATTACCTGGGGATTAAAAAAACATTACTGTATTTATGCTTGCTCCTCTTCTGATTTGTTTGTTTGTTTGTTTTTTAAAGAATCCAGACACTTTGGACATCAGATAATATAACAGGAAGTAGCATTTGGCCAATGGATAGTCCCAGATTCTTTAATTCAGTTTCTATTGAGCAATCAGTCACATACAGCAGAAAAATGACAGAGGCCAGGCGCTGGCCTTTAGATGAACTGAGGGGTAAAAGCTCTGTTGTTGAGCCAAAAAAAAAGCACCAAGCACAACTTCTTCACTTCATCAGACTCTTTTCAGATCATAAACAGATGGGTTACCCCAAAAAAGTCCCACAGTGTGAAAAGTCCAAGTGTGTAAGAATGTAACAGCTTAATCGTAGTATCTGGATACACAGACAACTTATGCAGAACAGAAGCAACAAATGTATGAAATACCAGAGTTGCTGTTTTCATTGTCTTTGTTTTATGGAGTGAATTCATGTGAAACATTTGTCCTTTAGTGGTTTCACAAAGGATTTTGAGGGTTTGAGTTGGGCTTGTTTGCTTGTAAATAAACAGGAATTGTTGGACCACAGTGTGAGAAAAATCTTAATATAGAGATACACTATATGCTGCCATTTCTGCAGCATTGCTTTCTTTTCATGAGTAACTGTAAGTTGCCGATGCTTTGCAGCAGTAGGCGTCTATATTTTATCATGAGCGACAGGAACGGATTCCAGGCATTTCTTTCAACCCTCAGGCCGACAGTTTGAAGGGCTGAATATACGATGTTGTGTTCTGGCAGCAAGTGAATGGGTGGAGCACTTTTATTGATTAAGTTGAGGCTAATTGTCATTAGACATAAAGCTTTACGATGCAGTGGCCGAACCTTTCAGTAAACACTTTTATTGGAATCCCACTCTAATTCACTTTGACTCAGCATCATAGAGTAAAATATTACTGTTGGTCCTTTGTAAAATTCTGGTTTGCCACCATATTCAGTTTTAAAAATACAGCATTAGACTGGAGAGATGAATAAACATGGCTCTTCTTTCTTGTATTAGTGTAGTTTTTGGTTTTATTTGAAACTGATCTAATGATTTATAGATCTTTAATACAACACAACATGACAATGTTTCTGCAAAGCAGGGGGAAAATGCCAAAGTGAACACAGACATGCAGTCAGTGAACTAACTAAATAAGATTTAAGCATTAAGGCATTAAAGCTGTTTTTCTTGTTTTTCCTTTATGTATCCCCTTTAAAAACAGCAGTATGAACAAAAACATGCTTTTGGAGAACTGTTATATCCCTAACCTTTTGTATGTGATAATTTTATGTTTAAACATGTGTGCTAATATTGATGGTGTTATACCTTTTGGCACAGCAGTCCCCAACCTTTTTTGCGCCATGGACCGGTTTATGCCCGACAATATTTTCACGGACCGGCCTTTAAGGTGTCACGGATAAATACAACAAAATAAAACTAGTACCGGTACTGAAAAAAAAAAAGAAGATTTATTCATAACACACATGAAAAGACCCAGGAAAACTGAGTTAATGATAAAAACGATAACAAAATAACGCTGAAAACCGATAAAACCCCTGAAAACCATACATTTCACACCTGAGCCTCAACTCTCGCGGCCTGGTACCAAACGACTCACGGACCGGTACCGGTCCGAGGCCCGGGGGTTGGGGACCACTGTTCTAGCATGTTCTTGGTACATGGATTGTATGCTGAGTGGGATAAGGTTTTTTGGCTGTGTAGAAATCATTTTGTATGTTCAACTATAAATGATACAAATGAACCGATGGCTCAAAGACTCAGTTTAAAATGCAGTTTGTTCTTTTTTGAAAAGACCACGATGATTTAAGACCAACATTTGGAAAACTTTTTGATCTTGAGCTAAGTAAGTACAGGAAGAGTGTAAGAAACTGACAGACTGTAGGTGTAGCCGAGGCTCACTTTTGATTTAGAGGAGTAGCTTTTTGCCAGCCAGTGTAATCGTAACACAGTGTTGTCTACATTGTGTTTTCCTTCAGGACAATAGCTTACTGCCAGTGGGTGGATAACCTGGAGGAAACACAGAAGCTGCTGGCGATGAGTGGGCCTCTGAGTGACACGCTGAAATGGATGCTGAGCCACCTGAATGGTGGCATGGTGCGGCGGGAGATGTACGGCCACGGCATCGGACGCTTCTCCAAGGAGGAGGTCTACACACTGATGGAGAAGGACATGAGGACACTGGCCACTCTACTGGGTACGGATGCCTGTTCAGTAGAACTAAGACTAACCTCATCAGGACTGTGGTTATAGAGCGATACGCTAATGCTGTTATGCAAGCTGATAATGGAGCTAGTGTTATTTCTTTTTTCCATTGGCTGTAATGAAAATACATGAATTTTTTACTGTTAGCTGATATTTCTCAAAATATTCAAGAGCTCCTCTTAATTGGTTTATATTTATCAGAACAAAATGTCATTTATCTGCGTTTTTGCACTTGAATTTTATTGAGGTACAGACAGTAATAAATGAAAATAGAGAAAGCTCTGGATGTTAGCGGGAGGGATGCAATATAAGTGTGTTTAGAATAGTGCTTTGCATCGATCTGCTTGTGTCATTACAGCGAACAACAGCTTGTATAAAATGGAAAAGTCATTCCCGAGTGAAAACATTGGTACACTCCACAACCATCTGGCTTCCGTCTTTTAATGTTTGTTACGCACAAGTACCAGAAGTGTTCATCTAAAATCTGGCATTTTAACCAGAAGAGCTGATTTCCCAACTTCAAAATGAAATGAGTTTACTTTGAAGTTTGCTCTCTGAAGGGCAAGAAAAGCACACAAATACTTAGCAACCTTTCATTAACCAGCCTTCCTGTAGTGTTTTGGTTTCCCTCTGCATTACTGGAAGTGTTTACAGGTTACATTAAAAACATCTCTAATGGCATTGATGATGATGTGTATAAGAGCAGGGATTCCCAACCAGGAGAGATCTCAGCAGCTGCCCGGGGTACTCAAAGATCACAGAGTATTTCCACTTATTTGAAAAATGTATGAATAAATTGAACAAATTTAAAAACAAAAGTAAAAACAAGTTCATTTCAGTTTTATTTATATAACACTAAATCACAAGTTTCAAGGCGTTTTATATTAAAGTAAAGACCCAACGATAATAAAGAGAAAACCCCAACAATCAGACAACCCCTTATGAGCAAGCACTTGGCAGAGTTGGGGGGAAAAAACATCCAGCAGAACCAGGACAAGTTAGGGGTGAGGGGAGGGAGACAAGACAAAAGACACACTGTGGAAGAGAGGCAGAGATGAATAATAACTGATGGCTAAATGCAGAGTGGTGTATAAACATACAGAGTCTAAAGGAAGGAGGTGAGTGAAGAAGAAACACCAAGTGCATCATGGGAAGTCTGAAGTTCAGGCCTATCGCAGTGTAACTAGGGGAGGACTATAAGCTTTATCACAAAGGAATGTTGTAATAATCGAGGGTGTCAACACCTTGTACGTGAGGAGGTTTTTAAATTTGTTTCTGGATTTAACAAGGAGCCGATGAAGAGAAGGCAGTATGGGAGAAATATGCTCTGTCTTTCTAGTCAGTGTTAGCACTCTCTCTGCAGCAGTTCAAAATGTGCTCGCGAAATGTGTTTAGGTGGGGGAAAAAAACTATCCAAAAACAACCGTGAACTAAGATTTAGTGCTAGTGATAGATCATTTTGTATTGTAATCTTAAAATAAAGCCCTTCACACACCTGATGCATCAAATTTGTACTGATATTTCATACATTAAGATGGATATTGACTTGGTAAAATAATACTATTTTACCTCAGGCACACAGCTAGACACTGCTCTGGCTCTTTGAAATGATTTCTCTGTCTCCTCAGATGTGATACTGACTCTGCTAACAAGAGCTTAAACTGCCCCAATGACATCCTATATGTATAAACATTACATGACCAGCTCATATCCCAAGAATTCGGAATATAACATTTTTATAACATTTTTTTCCCAGCACGCTCAGTGTGCAAAGGTCTTAATGATAAACATCTCAAAAAGTGAGCTAAAGGTAGTTCGTGAAGAGTTAGTGCATCAAAAAAGCTCAAAGTAAAGCAAAAACCGTTGGTTTACAAACACCTTCTGCCAGTACAAGTGGAATGAAAATCATCTGTAGCAAGAAACCTTTCAACAACACAGATGGAATGAGTTGCAGAGTTGAAAAAGGAGAACTTTAATTTGGTTTTTGATATCTATTGTGTGTGTGTGTGTGTGTTTGGTTACTTTGTTTCTGTTATTGATTAGCAGCAGGTAAATCATCACTGTAAAATCTGATTTGTTAAAGTCTTCTCAGCTCTGCATTAACATGCCACAGCAGATGACTAACAGCCAACATGCCAGTACTGGTGAACAGGGACAGTATCAGCTGTCCAACTTGTTGCTTCATCGCTGCTTATTAATGTTACTAATAGTTTTAATTTAACCATCTTTAGCTGCACAGTGCTGTGGAAGTTCTCGTATATTCCCTTTATCGTTGCTTGAAATTGCTGTTTGTTTTCTGTCTTGCAGGAGATAAGAAATACTTCATGGGGTCTAAGATGTCAACATTAGATGCTACAGTGTTTGGGCATCTAGCTCAAGCCATGTGGACTTTACCTGGAACACGACCAGAGCAACTTATCAAAGGTCAGATGATCTATTCAGTAATTGCAAATCAACACATACATGCTGTATTTTATCACACGTTTTTGTATATTATCTTGTCCTTGCAATATTTAAGCATACTTGTGAGATGTTTTCACTGGTGCATTTTTATGTGTAGTCCACTAGATGACAGTGCTGTTCTGCTGCAGTGCAGTGCTGCTTACACAAGCTCAGAGAGCAGCTTTAAAGTCTCACACAGGGAACACTGAAGTCTTTTTATCTTTTCAGGGAACAGCATCAGAGCTTGATTCTGTGTTTTAATCCATAATTTGTGATCAAGGTGATTGTGGGAACAAAACCTGACCCCAAAAAAAGACTAACAAAGGCAGTAAGCACCTGTGATACCACCTGCTGGTTTCTTCTCTGTCTTCAAAAAGATTTACATGTCTCCACAGGAGAGCTGATCAACTTGGCTATGTTCTGCGAGCGGATGCGGAGGAGGTTCTGGCCCGAGTGGTTTGTTGAGGTGGAGGATTTTTACTACGACGGAGACAGCGAGAGCAGCAGCGGGGGCACCCCCACGGGCCTGCTGGACTTCGGCCTCTTCTCCAGGACTGACACGCTGGACGACAGCGATGGCAGCAGCCACTCAGCCGGACGCACGCACACACATTCCCCCGACTCTGACCGCTCGCTTTTTGATTCGGACGTGGGCACAGGGTCTGACAATGATGCTCAGTTTAAAGAGGAGTCAATGCCAGACCTGGAAGTTTGACCTAGGCAGACTGAGACTGACCGAAGGCTGGAACAGTCGGTGCTACAGGCTGCTGTGTGGTTTTGCTTAAATAAATCTGGCTGGAACGATGTGTCCAAGCAGCAGCTCGCACACAGCTGAAAGAACTATTCCAGCTCCTCCACCTGTAATGCCCAGCATGTTACAACTTCCCAATGGGCAGACTGGGCGTTTGTATGCAGACGATGCAAAATAAACCTTACAAAACATGCAACTGTACAGTCAGTTCCCTCCCGTTACGTCAGAACTGTCCCTGTGACAGTTCCTCTTTGCCTTATTTGTCTCATCCTAAGATGCAGAAGCTAGCGCGAAAGGTTAAAACACAAAGGAACCATCTCATGAAGAGCGCGTTGGCAACAGAAGAGTGCTACAGACATGACAGGTGGCACTTCACTTGCTATGAAATGATGCAACTAATCACCACTCTGCCGTGTGTCATAACGCACAAAACCACTGAAACAGGTGGAGATTGAAAAAGGAACAGCTGCCATGTCTCTGCTGTTAGCCATCCGTGTGCTGAGGAGTAAACACAGATGACATTGAGCATCAGTCCGTGCATTAAGTTGACCCTAAAGTCATTTTCCTCATGCTCCCTCTTGCTTCTGTATGTGGTGAAAAAAAAGTAATTCAATTATTTTGTCTAAAACCCCAGATACACTTACTGTATAGGCCTGTTGAACAGAAATCAGGAAGTAAGATTTGTGCCTGTTTCTTCTGCAAGCTTCATCTTATTTTCTGCCCAGTAAGTAATTATCTGCCTGCACTTTGTTATTCTTGAACTTGGAGAGTTGGTTTTTTTTTTTGTTGTTGTTGTTGTTGTTGTTGTCGGGTTTTTTTTTTTTTTTTTTTTTTTTTGTAGTTTCTTCTAAACTTCTTGTGGTCTTATCGAAGAGCTGCCGTTCTTGTATTTGACCACTAGATGGAGTCAGCAGTCCGCCTGTTGCCTTCTACATCAAGGTCACTCCAGCCTAAGGACGTGCAGTACATTTAACACAAGAAATTTCCACTTCTTTGCTAAATCTCCCATTCATACGTAGCGCGCGCTTGTGTGTGAGTGCGTGTGTGTGTGTGTGTGAGAGAGAGAAAGATACTGCATACTACAACTTAGCGCAGCAACAACTCACCCTCAGCGCTCAGAACATTGAAACAAATGGGTGAAACTCCTTTGCGACATTTTTTTGTTATGATATAATTTATTATCAGTGCCACTTGATATTATTCTTTCTACAGTAATTTATTTTTTGTTAAATATATACATATATTTAATGTTATTTCTTTTTCTTATTGCTCTCAAAGAGAGATCTTAATTTGCACTAGTGGAAATTTAATTTTCACCTCATTTCAGTCGGAGGAGTCAGCTGTGAAGGCACAGAATGGAGACTGAATGACGCTGATAAAGATCAAGCTGCAGTGGACTGTGCTGCTCATGTCGGCTGCGCATATGCGAATGTTACCGGGTGTGAATGTCATCAGTGAAGCAGCTGATAAAGTGTTTGCAGACTGGACTGAGTCAGAATACCAAATGAAAAGGAAGCGACTATAGCTTGGTGGAAAATCTTGATTAAAATGTGGACCAAAGTGTCTGGGCCGGGGGGAGCGTTCGTTTTTGTCTGTCACGTTAAGCTCGCTGGAAGTGCTCGTAATGAAAATGTGATGGCTTTAAAAACTGACTATGGTACATAAAAAGTAAGTGTGACTTGCATTAAAGGGTCTACAAACCCTGATTATAAACTTTTTTTTTCTCCTCACGAGTGGCACTAAACCGTGCAGATAGTTTTGTTTTGAATTCTCCAGGCTCGGAGATGTCTCTTTTCTTATTTCACTCCACTTATTAAAAAAAATCTTCATTCAATTTGCTGGATAGATGGTCAGAGTTGTCAGATTAATTAGTTTTTATGTGACAAAAAGTGGAATAAATAAAAAGTAAAGGAACAAAATATGAGATATGAGATGGTTAACTTAAACACTTATTAGCCTAGAATCTTACAGTGCAAACAGGTTTCATAGGTTATATTCACATGCTGGCAAAAAAGGCCCAAATCAGATTCCTTTGCTTAAATACCACTCGTGTTTCTTCACAAAAGCACAAATCACAGAAATCTGCTTTCTTTTTTTCAATTCTTTCATATGGAGCCCTGAAATACAGAGTTTTTTATTCAGTGAAAATCAGAATCCAACCACTCCGGGCTCCAACACTGCCTCCACGCCTCTATATGAAGCTAGGAGTTACTGTACCACAAAAAGCCACGATCTTTCTCTTTGTCCTCTCTGATTAGACGGCTTCTTCTGCACATCAACTTAAAAGTGAAATGGTAAATGGATTTTTTCGGCCTCTTGTCGCTTCTGTGTAAAAGTACGATGCACGGGACACTGTTACACATGTGTCTCACTGTTTTTCTGATATTGGCTAAGAGAAGAATGCAAAAAAGAAAAGTGCCAAACAAACTCATCGGAGGATTAAACCAGAATTTCTGCATAGGAGCTTGGAGTGTGAACCCAGCCTTCGGATGTCTGTCACAAAAATCAATTGACTTGTAAATCATTCAAATTAATCTTCTTTTAATGTTAAATACTAAAGCTAATAAGATGACCTTTGAATTTTGCATGTTTTCGAAACATTTTTGAACATATTTTACCTGTCACCAAAAAATTGAGTCTTTTTTTTTTTTTTGAGCAACTATCAGACATTTCTGCAGAATTATTTAAAGCTCTTGGTAACTTCTTTTTTTTTTTTTTTTTTCAGAATAGGATCCACTTATTTTTCTAATGCAAACAGAGTCGTGTTGCATTTTTCCCGGCACCTCTCCGGTGATTGTTTTGGTTGCGCAGGCTGCAACTTAACTGCTTTTTGCTAAGTCTCACTGCTCTCATTAGTGTCATTCTTAGAAGCAGCTGGCAGCTTTTTAGCTCTAGACAAACTGCTTAGCACCATATGACACTAATAATGACGGTAACTTGCTGGTGATCATAATTGAGCTTATTTAGCAAGTAAAGAGCTAAAATTTCCTTCAGAAGTTGGAGACCAAACCACTGATAAATTTGAGTGAGTACTGTAGTTAAATCAGACAGCCAGGAATGCCAGTTGAACAACAATGCTCTAAATGTCTCTAATGAGCAAGTGTATAGAGATATATATAATATACTGTTAGCTTACTGGATTAATATTAAACGTCCACCTTTCTAATAATGAGTTTATGTCGGTAATCTCTGTGAGCCAAAAGCTCAGGGTTCAGACTGCTCTTAATGCTCCGTTTTAGACATTTTTTCCACTCTTGGCTCTCACTGCGATCAATGAGGGGTTATCCCTAATAGCTTTGGCAGTGGGAACAGAAGCCGACCCACCAGCTGTTCAAACCTGTTGTTTGTGAGAGGCACCCAATCAGAAGAAATTTGTTTTTAATGTGTGAGAGGTAAAAGAGCTTGTTTCAGACAGAGGCCGGACTGAGGGAGGCACTGTAGAAGATACACAAGGTTTATTTTTAAAACTATGAAGTGGAAGTGAGAGCGGCAGTTCACTTTAAATAAGGAAAAAAATCCATCCATTTCCATCCTTATGAAGTAAAAGTGGATATCTCAAAACCTGGCCAGGGAAAACCAAAACTGTCTGCATGTCTATGTATCATCTGAGGAGATGACTTTTATGTTTTGTTTTGTTTTTTATTGTTTTGGGAGAACAATCCTGGGTAGCTGCCCAAAGGCCAGAGATGAACTGAGACTCAGGTTGTACAAACAACCTTCTTCAATCATGTCGTCCTGTGGTTTGCATTCCGACCTGATCCGCACCGGTCTTGGTTGTGTGCTTCTCAGTCGCCTCATCCAGTCTGGGCATGATATTACAGTACAGTTGGACTGCATTAATCAAGCCATATTAAAACTAGATGTCTTGTTATTGGAACCACGTCATAGCGTTTGCTGCTGGTGTCATGTAAATATTGTATGTGTGACAAAGTGTATCATACTGTATGTAGAGCTGACTGACTGATCAAACTACCTGTGGCAGTCATACAAACTGGAGTGACTGGATGATTTCAATAAAGACTAGCTGTGACAATTTTAACCACACCCTGGTTTCGTGTTCACTCTGCTTCCTTGTGCATCTCAGCTTAACGGGAAGGGGCCGAAGTCATGACGCAGCTTTATTGACACGCACACTGTGCATTAATGTGCGTGGCTGTCGTATCCCTGACTGCATATCGTGTGTGTGGTGGTGTGTTTTCAATCATGCTAAACCAGCCACAATCACTCATGTGCAGAGGGGGGCTGATTAAGAGTGTGCCATGACTCTGTAGGCAAGACGAGAGGAGAGGAGCAGGAGGAGGGAAAAAAAGATCATTAGGTGAAAAGAGAGAGTTGAGCCAGGGCGAAGAGGAAGTAACCAGGAGCAAGTAAAGGGAAAGGAGGAATGAGAAAGAACTAGAGGAGCAGGTGGTGGAGAGGAGAGAAGAGGTGAAGAGGCCAGGACTGAGGAGTGAAGGGATAGTGGGAAGTCACTGGGGAGGAGAAGGAGGAGGAAAGAGAAAAGTAGCATCAGGAGTTTTGTTTTTGTTTTTTGTTTTTTTTTTGGAGGGGAAAAATTGGAAAAGACAGGGGTAGAAGGAGAGGAGAGAGAAAGAAAGCAAGAAGTCAGAGTGGAGTGGAGAGGAGAGAAAAGGAGGGGGTGAGGCGGCTGGGCTAGGGGCCCGGGGAGGAGAAGCTAGGGCCACGGATCAGGAACCAAGTTCCCCGGGGACGGAGCAGGTGCAGGCTGCGAGCGAGGCCTTTGGGCCTGAAGGGGCTGCCAGAGCTTAAAACAATCTGCACTGCTCCTTTTTTAATTTGGCTCTGCGAACAGCCCACCCTCCGCACTGACTGTCTCTCCCTCGCTCTGTGCTTAACAGATCAGCGATCCACAAAGAGGGGTAAACACACACAGAGCAAAATTAAAATCGGAACTCCCTTGGCACGGCAAAACAAATTAGAGCAAACAAATTACAGAGAGTCAACACACAAACAGTGGAGCATCTGTGGCTCTCTGGACTACCAGAGCCGGTGGCTACCTACCACACCACCACCACCAGAATCAACCTATAGTACAAGTTCACTACAATCTGCGTATCAGTCCCACACAAACACACTCACACAGGATAGCCTTTGAAATCACCCGGCCCCATGTTTAAAACCGTCCTCTGCATTGTGCTGGTTTAGGCTTGGTTTTTGTCTTCAGCATGTGTTGAAGCAGCTGTGGAAGGTTTAAAAGAGACTTCATAATAGTCTTTATGAACATCGGTGTGTAAGACGTGTACACTTACAGCAGCCTCATTTGAGCAACATTAAAAGTATGGAAGAGAGCAACATTTTCTCTGATGGTCAATAATGATAAATGATCAGTTTTTGGTCATTCACCCTTTTAGCTCCAGACAGGTTCTGAAAACAATGACTGGTTGAATTTCTGACACATTTGCTGTATTTTCTTAGGATAGACTGCAATAACTATGGTGATTATCATCTAGTACTTTGCTTATATAGTTATATATAAAAACTAACTAGTACAAATTTACTATTTGCTCATGGATGTGGATCCATTAATAAATTAAGTCTTCCAATTTACATGTATTAAGTCTGTTATTGTAGGTTAGCTGTTTTTGTTCTGTTTTTTATTTGTTGTGAGGGGGGTCTTTTAGATGTTTTTTCCATGCGTGTGAGCTCTGTTGGGCTTGGCTGGCCCTGTCCCTTGGCCCCGTGGCCCCTCTGGCCCTCTGGCAGTGACTGTGGCCTGCCCATCTGCCTCCTACTGCCTGGGTCTGGTGGGAGAAGGGCCATGGAAGACCTCCCCACGCCCCTCTTAAACCTCCTCTACTGCTCCCGCACCGAACACCCCCACCAGCCCCCAGGCCAGCTGCTCAGGCCCCGGAATCTGCACAATGCTGCCAGGTGGGCCCCAGGACATGCAGTTGGACCCCTTCACATACGCAAGCGAGCACAAGTGAACACACAAACACATGCACTCTCTCACAATACCAACACATATGCTCAGTAAGCCTCTTTACAAATGGAAGGCCTGAAACACACATGGTTACACGGGTGGCCCACATGAAAAAAAACTTCCTCTGATACGCCCACGCACGTTCTGAGCGTGTGCCAACTCTTTAACACACAGCCTTTGTAGGCTCAGGTGTTTCCCACAGCTCCCTATAATGGTCCGAGTTCACAGGGGTGGGACACCAACAGGTGGCGCTGTTTTCTTTACTAATTACGGCTTTATTTATTCATTGGCATGTGCAGGCTTCCAGATGACTTTGGCTGGCCTGCTCATTCACAGGATAAAAGCCAAAGTGTGTGTGTGTGTGTGTGTGTGTGTG